ATTGTTTAAAAATAATTGTAACAATGGACGAAAACTATATGCTTATCCCCGCCTGACAGTCAGTAACCATAAAAAGTTATAAGAGGTACGTAAAAAGTTATAAGCCTATTTTCACTTACACGTACCTTTTATCACTTTTTATGGTTATTTACTGGCTGTCAAGGGGGATAAGCACACTCTTTATTTACAAATGGTATGTATGTCACAAAAATAACGTATCATTTGTTGCTTCTGACATCGCAATTCAATATGGCTATGGTGCTCAAAAGTCCTAATATCCTATACTTTACTATTACTGTAGATATCCTGGAGTGTCGTCTTTCTCAAATTTTCACAAGATTAAGTAATCCTCATTCCGTGCTTATTAGAATTTCTCAGATTTATTTTCATCGGTCCAAAAAATTTGTTAATTTTTTTAAGTCATTCTCATTTATTTAATTTAATTTTTAAAAAAATTAACTTACTCTTGCAACCCTGATGTATAATGATTAATATTTATGAATATTTATTATAATTATGTGGTCTGAGATGGGAGAACAAAGCTCTATGAAAATTTTAATCAAAATCTTAATTGTACATATTCGGGATAATAGTGCAGAACAATTTTATTATTTTAATTTTTTGATCATTTTTAAAAATAAATCGTGACATTAATACAGTATCGTATATGTTACCTAAATCATTTTTTTTCATATTTTAGCTATATTTTATATTATTATATTTTATATTTTTTATTTCATATGTATCTCATATGGTAATAAGCGTGCTAAATACCGACATGCGACATATCGACAGGATTCTATTACAGCGCTTCGCCACGATAAAAGGCTGAACTAATAGGCGTGGAAAAGTGATGTTTTGACGAGTTTTGACGACAAAAATTGTGCACAATGCCATTTCGTTATTATTTGCTGAATTGTGAAAATGTGACTTGTCTCGTACTTATCAAAGTCTTAATTATCGATAAAAACTAAAGTTATCTTGAAATTTTATACGTAAAAGTGTATATTTCACTCGTTTCAACAGTTGTTAAACCGTATGTTTCTGCCAGAATATAGCCTCACTTTACGAGTCTTTTACGACCATTTACTGACTATCAAGGGAGAAAAGGACAGTTTTCATCGATTTTTACAAGTGTTTTAAAGCGAACCCATCGTTTAATTTCATCCAAATTGTCTGTTTACAAATGGCATCGTGCATAAATTAACGTGTTATTCCTCGCTTCTGACGATTCCAATATGGCCGCCGCGACTACTCAGGGGCCTTAAGGCATACATGTCACCGTCTTCTGTATTTCATTTTCAATTAATAATTTTTATAACGTTTATATTGTATACAAAAAAAAGTTGAAAAAAAAAGAAAATCGGTATTATAGAATAAATTCTCTATCAATTACTTTACTTTATATACATAATATTTCTTTTCTTGTAGCATAGAAAATACAAATTTATAATTCATTTTATATATTTTATAAAAAAGCTATGTAAAAAATATAAAAAAAGAAGACATGGTAAGAAAAACTTATACAAACATTATGAAAGGGCGCGCGTATGGCGCGCGCCTATCATGTTCTAGTGTAGATTAAAAATTCGTTGGAATTGTAGGAATATAATTCTCAAATATTATAACAAACTGCAATTAATGTTGGCATCTGAATTTCTGGAATACTTCAAAAATATAATTGTGCAGACAAAATATTAATAATCTTATTAATTTTGTTTGCGTATGCGTTTATTAAATAACACACGCCGAAAAATCATATATAACTTGCTATATAACGAGAACATGCACTCATTGTCGTCTGCATAATGGTATATAGCATGCTTATGTTATTATGAAAAATAGTTAGTAACGTTCGGAGTAGCATTAAATGGAAAGAAACAGGTAAATAATTAATTGCATTTATTTAATTAACTTCTCAATTAATGCCTAAGATAAATAAAGGAAAACCCGATAAATAACAAGAGACGGGAATTAATTATATCGCTTGGCGATACGCGAGTACACATACCATAAGTATTTTTAATTTATTATGTCACGCATTCACAATAAGAAAAATTATAGTGTCCTTCCAATGTCCATTGTATTAGTATTCAATGTCCCTATGCTAGTATAAATACAATTTCAGAGTATCCATCGAAAGAAAGGTGTAAGATGTTCACTTACACTTATCCTGTTAATCGCTCCTATTGTATCAGCACCCGTGTTAAAAAGTTTCTGCCTCATAATAAATTAATATTTGTGACAATACTACACATGTTCATAGTATGTATTTGAATCACCCCGCGTTTCTAACCAACTCTATAGAGTCTAATCACCGAATCCTCTCCTGAGGATTAAAGGTGATCCTTTCTCGATTGTCAGAGAAGACTCGTGGTTAAAAGGTCTGCCGCAAGGAAACATTACCGGCAGGTATTACGATGGCACTTTGACCAGTGATTACAAGACATTGTCACAAGAACGATTCGATCGGTAATCGTATACTTTGATCGTAAATGAGTTTTTCTTTTTGTTATTTGATTATCACACTAATAACTTTGGGAAGGGCTTCTATCCGTAAAGAAGTTTTTCAGGATGAAAACTTGTCCTACAGCGATGAGCAGGATACAAACAGTCTCCATAACCGACCACCAGAGCACTCGTTCATTGAGCTCTTCTGCGCGTTTGCGGCCCTGAGCTTCACGTAAGCGATGATGCGTCTGATAGTCCAAAATGCTGATTAGATTCTTGTGTACTTCTTGGGCAGAAGATTCCATCTATTAAAAGAACCCGCATCAGATATCACTAATTTTGATTTATGTAAAAAATCTATCTTATAAATTACCTAAAGATAAGACAACGAACAATAATGAAAATAAAATTAATCACAGGTTTTTTACAATCCCCTTTATACCATTTTTATCAGAAAAGATAAAAAAATTTTTTTTAAAAGACTTCTTTTAATACACATGGCATATAAGGGAATTAATAATAGTGAATAATATAAAAAAGCCCATCATAGCCTACATCGGTTGTTCAGATGCACAGAAAACTCTTTATTTTCGTGTAAATGTAACAAAACGAATAAAATAAACGTTTCGACTCTTCAATTTAGGTCTTTATCAATATAGAATATAAATCTAAATTACATAAGTAACGCAAATTTCAAGATGGTGATTCCCGACAAACAAAAAGACTTTCAATTTCACCATCCTTTTATGTCAGGTATGTTGATGACATTGCGTCAGCATATGATGCGTCACACATTGATACACTGGTGAAACACTTTTAATTCACTCCATCCCCGATTAAAATTTACAACTGAAATAGGCGGGGACAAATTAAATTTTTTTATTGTCAGCTTAATTAAAAAAGGAAATTCTCTTATTCATAATTGGTACCACAAACCTACTTTTTCTGGTCGTTATTTAAATTATTTTTCTAGACACTTTTTATGCCAAAAAGTGGAAACAATCATTGATTTAATTGATAGAGTTCTTTCTTTGTCCCTATTACCATCAAGAGAATTTCGAATAATTAAAATTCTTTTAAACAATGGATATCCATTGAAACTCATTCTCCAAAATCAAAAATAGGTTGTCAAAAAAATTTAAACAATGGAATGACCGGTGTAACACACCTAAAGACAAGACAACGGACAATAATGAAGATAAAATTAATCAAATTTTTTAAAATCCCCCCTTTATATCATTTTTATCAGAAAAGATAAAACTATTTTTTTAAAAAGACCCCTTAATACACATGGCATATAAGAGAATTAATAATCTTAAGCGGTTCATCAGGGGTCATAAAGAGACATTCGTCCCAAGCTATCTCATACAGACGTTGTATATAAAATTGATTGTTGAGATTGTGAAGCATCATATGTGGGCCAAACAGGTAGATGTTTGAAGACATGCATAAATGAATATAGAAATCATATAAATTGGAACACTACACAGCACTCCGTAATAACAGAACACAGAATTAGTCATCAGCATGATTTTAATTAGGAAAATGTTAAGATATTAGACGAGAAAAGGATGCTTAATAGAAGATTGATTTCGGAAATGATTCATATAAAGCAACAGAAACAGAGTTTGAATTTATAAAATGATACGTATTCTTTAGACCCACTATATATGAATTTGTTTGTAGAATTGTGACGTTTTCCCCTCCTTTGTTCTTATTTTTATTTCAATAACTACATTATTATTTTGACTCTCATTTCATCTCTGACTGTCGACACCACAAGACCTTTATATCGAGTCGCAAGAAACGCTTACATGTAAGTTAACAAAATTAAAATTCAGATAAATGATTTTAATAATTCTCTAATTGTTTCGATTTTCGTTTTTCATTTGAATGACTACATAGCAAATCTGACAATTTGACGAGTGATGTGATTCTACTATTTGATGTAATGTATATGATTTCAGTTTTACTTTATGTAAGTTTTTATATTATTTTATAAGTTAATATTTTTGATAATCATTTGACTATTCATTACACAGCTAATTTGGCATTTGGATAAAGAAGAATGAACTAAATTGTCAGGAATCACCATCTTGAAATTTGCATTACTCATGTAATTTAAATTTATATTCTATATTGATAAGGGCCTAAATTAAAGCGCCGTAACGTTTATTTTATTCGTTTTGTCACGTTCAAACGAAAATAAAGTTTTCTGTGCATCCAAAAAGCCGATGTAGGCTCTGATGGGCTTTTTTATATTATTCACTAATAGATTCTTTTGAGCCTCATTTTATATATTTGCTTATAATTTACCTGAGTCATGACTGTAACATGTTCTCCAAGACCAGGAAGTGGCAATTCGTCGCCAACTTGGAAATCCATATATACCAGCTTGTGCGAGTATGTAGAAAACTCATTGCTAAAGCAAGCCTTATATATTCCTGACATAGTTGGTATAAAGGAATGTGAATCAAATTGTGTTTTTACTTGACTATAGATAATTTCTTTATTTGGTGCTTCTAAAGTTACATCTACATCGTACTGGCCACCTGTAACTACCTGAAAAATATAAAAGCATGTTCATCACAAATGAATTGCTTTAAAAAGCACAAAATGATTAATTTGTACATAAAATATTTACAAAATAATAAAATAACTTCTAAAGTGATAAAAGGAAGTTATGGTATCAATAAAAATATTTCCGCTTCCTACAAAATTTCTATAGAAAGGAACAACTTGCATAAGATGCATTTATTTTAACTATATCTCTCCTCTCTTTCTTACTGTAAAATATAAGAACAGTGCAACTAAAATAGACCTATTAATAAAATAAATATTTTAATCGCTATTTATTCGTTATTTATTCTCTATTCGTGTTATTTCTTGTTTGCTTCATTCAACTTTAAAGCTAAACAAACGGATAAATGTGGCATACTGCACCGCGAGCTCCAGCCTCGGATGTGCTACGAGCGATAATAGCGACGTGTCATTGTGACGCGTGATAAGAATACGTAACGTTATCGGAAATTAGTATGTGATAGTATTGTGCACCTGAAACTCCAACGTAGATGAGACATTCTTTTCGATCTCTTGATAAAAACACTCTTTGGCATTATCGGCCAGTTCGAAGGTTAGCTCGACGCCATCCGTGAGGAGGAGTGCACCAAACAGCGAAGCAAGCAATAGCCAGACCGACCAGCAATCCATTCTTATTATTTTTCGTTTATTCGTCGACGCTTATGCGGTTGTCTCGTCTTCTTCTTCTTCAAAATTGATGGCACTCGCCGCAAAAATGACAGCGATTCCGGCCTGAATCGTAAATAAATCGTGAAATCAAAGTATGATACACCGGTCACCTCAAACCGGTGAATGGGACGAAATAATGATGTAATCTTAAGACAAATAATGTAACACAATACACAGTCGAAGCCAGGAACGCTTTACAAAAAATGGGTGAGATGATGCAATACCCGAAGCGGGCAACATGTACGTCCGTCCCGCTCACTCTCACGAGACTTGCGGCTGTCTCGTCACTGATCTGATTGATCTGTGTGCATTTAAAATCCCCTTAAGCCTCGAGAAAATTCGGACATAAGAGCGCAATCACTTTCACTATTTTTTTCAGCAATATCAGACAGCTCGAACGCCGATGATCTCAAGCAAACAGCATAGACAAACGATCTTAACGTGGCCGGATGTCGACTCATGTCGACATTGTCGACTGCGCACGACGTAACCATGGTGGAAAGATGTAAGTGAGCTATTGCGCATAATGGCGGAAAAGAGTGAGGGATGACCAATAGAATGAGAGCCATATTAAGCGCGCGAATTTCAAACGCATATCAATAATCGGAAATGGAAATATAAATGGAAACCTAATTGTCAGTGTTTTTTCATGCCACAAGCCTCAAGCCATTTTTGACGTAAAGCAGTATCTTGAGGAAATGAGTAGAATACTACATTATTGCAGAAGGCAGTAGCAGAACGATTTTTGCAATATTTTATGCAGCAAATCGGCATAATTTCACCTACACTGACAACCGAGCTGAGACAACAAACAAAAATGAAATTTATATATAAAAGATATTAAATCTAATTTTACTCGTTTATAGTCATTTTGGAATTACGCTCTTATTCACAAGATGACTAAAAAGTTACTTTAATATCTATTTCTACTAATGTAGATCAACTTTAATCATGGTATAATAACTTACTTTTTATCTTCTAGTTCTAATAATTAGAAAATAATTAGAAAAAAGGTAAAAAATATAATATATTTAAGATGTACAGTGATAACCAAGCTGATAATACCTGACAACAAACATGTCATCAGCCATATTGAAATCTATAATTTGGCTCTAATGTGATTGGCTGTTACTGCGCATCCACGGGAATAGCTCACCTTACATCTTTCCACCATGCGACGTAACCGCGTTTGATTTGTACGGAAGTCAGTGTTGCCAGGCGAAGCAATTTCCCTGTTGGGATATGAAAATCTCCCTAGTTTTTTCTATTTCTGTTTTTCCCAAAATTCCTGTTTTTCAAAATTTTCCGCTAATTTCATCTATTTCTCTTAAATTCACAAAATTTTTGTTTTTTTATAAATTTTATTAAAATGAAATCATAAATTATTTTTTTATTAAGATATCATAATTTGGAATTATAATAAATATGGAACAGAACATATAGACCTTTGTTACACGGTATTGGTAAAACCGTTTTATGAAACTGGCCAATCATAGTTGTTCCTCGGAAGAATAGAACGACTGTGATTGGCCAGCTTTATGAAACGGTTTTTCCTAAAACGGTTTTACCAATGCCGTGTAAACGTAGTAATATAAAGGAAAATATATAATAATAAGTACTATAAATTAAAGCCACTTTCACCAAGCTCAGTTAACTAGGCCGGTTAGTCCATCGGAATTGACCAATCGTATTTGTCATTTTGTTTAAAGACAGATGGCGATTGGTCAATTCCAATGGACTAACCAGCCTAGTTAACTGAGCATGGTGAAAAAGGGTGATCCCGATTGATCACGGCTCGATTGGACACCACCAATCACAGCGACCGGTGCCTAGGAGCTTTGTAGTCTCAAGCTCTGTGAGTGGCTCGTGTCCAATTGAGCCGTGTCCAACTGGGTGCCATCCATTGAAGTAATGCTTACTAAAAAAATTATGCAAAAATGTAATATAATAAGAAAAAACCTGCGTAATATAATAAGAAAAAGGATTAACTTATTAAATAATCATAATTGACATATAGAAAACAAATGGAACTTTAAAAAGACACAGAGTTGTCACATATTTTATTAATTTTCTTATAATGAAACTGTACAAATATGTTACTTACCCTTGCAGAGATATACATTTTTTGTTGGTGTCCAATTTTTTCCATCATTTGTCGCCCATAATGCTCGACGTTCAACATCACGCGGAAATATTTTCATTTACTACGTTTACACGGCACGCTTTACGCCGAAGTTATAACATCGATGTTATGAAACTGGCCAATCACAGCTGTTCCTCTGAAGAATGGAATGACTGTGATTGGTCAGTTTCATAACATCGATGTTGTAACTTCGGCGTAAAGCGTGCCGTGTAAACGTAGTATATGTCAAATAAAGGCCCGTCTACAATACACGGAGTAAGAAGAGTAAGAAATTGACCAATCACAGTCGAATGTGAGAAGAATAATCGACTGTGATTGGTCAATTTCCTACTCTTACTTCTTAATCCGTGTATTGTAGACGGGCCTTAAGATAAGACGTGTAGGATAATGTGAGATAGAATGTATAGGATAAAATGAAAAAGAAATATGTCACTAGTACTATAAATGGCTGCCAAGTCACGTGGTTGCAACGGCGAATCAGAATGCATAACACCAGTTGCGCCTCTCTGATAAATCTAGGACTCTACGACCGGTATTCATAGTCGGTTCTTATTTTAAAGGCCCGTCTACAATACACGAAGTAAGAAGTAAGAGTAAGAAATTGACCAATCACAGTCGAGTGTGAGAAGAATACTCGACTGTGATTGGTCAATTTCTTACTCTTACTTCTTACTCTGTGTATTGTAGACGGGCCTTAAGACCGTCTTAAGTAATGTCTTAAGTCGTTAATGCGGCTTTCTGATTGGTTTATGACATCTTAAGATTGTACTTAAGACGGTCTTAAATATAAAATCCGACTATGAATACCGGCCTACGTTCGTTATGTTACGATTCGGTACCACTACGGATTGTCATTGGAGATGATGCGGGCCGATTTCTTACGTTAAGGCCCGTCTTCAATACACGGAGTAAGAAGTAAGAGTAAGAAATTGACCAATCAGGCGTCGTCTACAATACACGGAGTAAGAA